CTAGGTGTCACGACTACTCAAAGTTGGCCAAAAACTCACTGATTTTCACACTTAGCCAAATTTTCCAGATTTTGAATTTTTCCAAAAAAAATGACTACTTCCAATTTCAAGCTTCTTCATATTCATTTTAAATTGTCGGATGTTACAATCTCCCACTTGGGAACATTCGTCCTCGAATGAGGTTACTTTTACAAGGCTAAGGGTGTAACATCAATTCAAACACCCAACAAGCAATCATGCAACAACAACGACAACAACAACAACATGCCCACTATAATTTAAAGAGAACCAAGAAGGAAATTAATACCTTGATCTGCGGATTCAAAGAGATATGGATATCTCTTCTTCATGTATTCTTCGGCTTCCCAAGTAGTTTCCTCAACAAATTGGTTCCTCCATAGGACCTTGACTGAGGCTACATCTTTCGTTCTCAACCTACGAACTTGACAATCCAAAATTGGAACAGGAATATCCTCATAAGATAAGTTATCCTTGATCTTGATACTTTTAGTCGGTAGGATCAATGAAGGATTGCCTATGCACTTCTTCAACATGGAGATGTGAAATACCAGATGAACCACTGCTAGTTCCTATGGTAACTCCAACTCATAAGCAACATTGCCAATCCTCTTGGCTATGCGGTAAGGTCCAATATATCGGGGACTAAGTTTACCGTTCTTACCAAACCTCATAACGCCTTTCATGGGTGAAACCTTCAAATATACCCAATCGTCTATTTCAAATTATAACGCCCTTCTCCTAACATCGGTGTAGGATTTCTGACAACTCTGTGCCGTTTTCAACCTCTCTTGAATCACTTTCACCTTCTCCAAAGCTTGGTGAACTAATATGGTCCTATCGACTGTGCTTCACCAACTTCAAACCATCCAATATGAGATCTACATCTTCTCCCATAAAGAGCTTCATATGGAGCCATTTAGATGCTAGAGTGATAACTGTTGTTGTAGGCAAATTCAATGAGAGGTAGGTGATCATCCCAACTCCCTTTGAAATCGATTACACAAGCCCTCAACATATCCTCTAAGGTCTGAATAGTGCGCTCTGCTTGCCCATCAGTCTGAGGGTGAAAGGCAGTACTTAAGTTCACCTTTGAACCCAAGCCCTTCTGAAAAGATTTCCAGAACTGTGCAGTAAACTGTGCACCTCTATCTGAAATAATAGAGATTGGGACTCCATGAAGTCTCACTATCTCTTGAACATATAACTTGGCATAATCTTCTGTTGTATTGGTAGTCTTTATCGGTAGAAAATGAGCTGACTTTGTCATTTCGGTCGACAATTACCCAAATAGAATCATGCTGTCTGCGAGACCTTGGCAACCCTGTGATGAAATCCATATTGATCATCTCCCACTTCCATTCCGAAAGTTCTAT